ATCTTCCTTCAAAGACCAAATATTGTACAGGTGAGATTTACCGTCAAGATTAGTTTCTTGTTGTTCTTGGCATAACTTGTGCCAAGTTAAAATTGATAGAATGATACAGTTTGTTTCTATTTACTACCATCAGCAACTAAAGAGAAGTCTCTTTAAGTTAGTATAAACTGTAGGTGTGCAGCAAAAAGAAAGTTCGCTAGATGTTGTATTCTGAAAATTATTTGATTGTCATGATTTATATTGCTAATTGGCAACCAAATGTGTTGTGAAGTAATACTTCATTTCTTCTGGATAAGAAAATCCATTTTGATGTCATAGTCTCTGTGCATTCTCTAATAGACTCTTATGATAAAAGTATGAAAATATATTAGCAGAGAAACTTCATTATAGTAGTACGGAACTCAGCTTCCCTAGGACTGATAGCCTTGCATTTAGTAAGAAAACAGTAATTAAACATATTTATTTTTGAAGTGAATTTTAAACACTTAGAAACACTTAAACTATATTAGAAACCTTTAAATTATATATAGTTCAATTTTTTTTTTTTTTTTTTTTTTGCGGTGATAGTTCATTAAGGTGTATTAGTTTTCATCCATCAATGTGAATGGTTTTGTATTTGCAGAGCCTTTTGTCTCTGCTCAAGTTAGCTTTTGGAGGAGATGGAAGACATCGCCTAGCTTTGCAGGCTGTGTCATGCATGCAACAGCTATGCCTCTTCTTAAGATACAGACTTAATTTTCACAGAGATCCGAATTTCTTCTCCAGTGAGCAAGGTGGGTTTTTAAAAACACTTTAAAAATATATTTTTTACTATAAATAAGATTATCTATAATTTTATTTAAAAACACTTTATTATGAGTGGACACTTGTGTAATTTTTGCTCCATAATAGTGTTCAGTACTAGCCTATGGGTGCTCTTCATATTAGTAAGTAGTTTTGAGGTACTTGGATGACTTTAAATATTCATTTGGATCATTTCCAGTGATTCTTTATGCATCTGCTTTTCCCTGTGTCCAATTATTTGTATGTCAGATGAATTTTTAACTAAATTTAAAAGTCTCTAAAGCAAAAGTGGGTAGCTACTGCATCTAAAAAAAAGTTTCAAGCTGTTAGTGCTTGACAAGGTATTTGTGAACTGGATGAGCCATGCTAACTCTTCCTCTATTCTAATAGCTGAACGTAGTTTAATCATTGTTTCAGATATTGCAGTCATTATGTCTGTTTCACAATGTTCTTAATGCTTAAATTTTGTAGATTTAATAATGTAGATTAGTTGTAATGATTTTCTTGTTTCCGTATTGTCAGCTGAATTTAATCAACTTTATGTTTCTCTAAATTGGTAGTCTGGTTCTCTTCAGAAGATTGTCATTATGCTTAGTGTCTTAATCTCAATAAATTCTATTGGCTGTTTCTTTGCTAATTCGATTATAATATGAGCAAATCCAATAACACTATGTATGTTTGTGTTTTGGTCACTTATAAAGTAAATCTTCCTCACATTGTCTCTCTTTTGATATGTTTTAATATTTTTACTCTGATAGAGTATGAGGCTTTTTTGAATTTGGTTTGTTTATGCTTAACTTCAAACAGTTGACCAGAGCTAGTAAAACATTCAACTGAATCTTACGTAACTCAGCGTTGTTTTCTTCCACTGTGTGATTGTAAGACATTAAAGCAGAATTAATACAATATATCAGAAATTATTCTAGTAAGATTTGTTTTTTAAAAAAAGTTAGAATTATGACTTAATTCTAAATTTCAGTGTTTGCATGGTAACTGAGTCTCCCAACTCTGCTACTTGTGAGTAATACGTTGTCTTAGGCTGCTAGTATTTACTTGGTATTTGCCATATCCTACCTTAATTACTTTTACTACTACTTCACTACCTAGTATCTTTCAGAATTATGGATTCTGGTAATGGATTATATGTTAGTTTTGAAATATGTTAGTTTAGAAATGTTAGTTTTATTTATGTTACTTCAAGGCACAGCTTCCCAGAATTCATCTATATCTTACTGTCAAGAAGCAAGAGGTCCTCCTCATTCCCAGAATCTGTCTCCTGGAAGTAGTAGCCCTCGGCCATCTGTTATTGGGCGGACAGTTCAGCGGCCTCGAGGAGACGGTCAAGACTGGGATGCAGCTTCTTCCAGGTGAGTAAAATAGGAAATAATTTTGTGTTTTAATTAAGGTGATTGCTGTAGAATTATGTCATCTACTCCACTCTGGTTTGTGGGAGTGTCTTCGGTGCTTTCCATGTGTGAGTGTCTTCACTGCTTTCCATGTATGTGGTTTAAATTCTAGTAAGCTAATAAGTGGCACAAAGAATTACATAAAGGCAGTTAGTTCTTTAAATAGTAGTAGGAATATATAAGATCAGTTTTACCTACGTTATTCTGTACCTAATAAACTTAAAAAAAAAAAAAAAAAAAAAAAACTCAGTATACCAGTTGGTGTTGTGCTGGTTTTGCATACATTTGTAATACATGGACATAGATTTATTGAGATTATTGCCTTAAAAAATATTGAAGTCATGTTTTTTTTTTTTCCTTTTCTTCAGCAGCTCTGTCAAAAAAAAAAAAAAAAACCCACTCTCAAAAGTAGAATGAGTATTTCATAGATTGCTATACGGCATAGTCAAAATTATTGTGTCTCTTAAACATTTACGTTACATTCTTTAGAATCTGGCGTAAATTCTTAAAACAAATTTGACTTGTACACACCTAAACATGCAACCTCAGTGTGAAATTACAAATTATTGTCCTGTGCCACGTGCTCTAGGTGACCCTGCGTATGCAGGGGTTGGACTAGATGATCTCTAGAGGTCCCTTCCAACCTTAAGCGTTCTGTGATTTGCATAGCAACCTCAGTGTGAAATTACAAATTATTTGCATATCCTCAAAATATTAAGGTTAATGGATGTGTGTGCATTTTACTTATCTTGGCAAAATAGTCTTAACTGTTACTCCAGAGTCACCATCTCTGGAGCAATAGTCTCTATTGGCTCTTTTGAAGGAACTTTAAAAGTTCCAAATATCATTATTGAGTGCTACTTGGTAGTTTTTGAGTCTTTGTGGCATTTTGGCTTAATAATCCAGTAACACTTGAAGTGTTCGAGTAGACTGATATTTTAGATAAGAATAGTTCACCTTTTCAACTGTAAATGCATAAATGCATCTTGACAGTCACTATATTAAAAGGTTATTTTTATCCATCTTTAATATATTCGTTCTTTATTATCTATTCATATGCACTATACATGAACTCCAGGCTTTATACACTGTTGAACCTGACTGTTTTCTCAAGCTGAACGTTCACAATTTAATAGTAATTGGTGAATATTGCTCAAGAAATAGGGCTGGCCGGACAGTTTTTGTGGTAAGAATGTCAACACAGGTAACTTACTTTCCTGACCAGCACCTACTCTGTAATGTGACATCTATGGAACAGGAAGTGATAATTTCTTGGAAGTATAAGGCCATATTATTAGCTATTTCTTCATGAATATACCTTTGCATTTTTCTACATTCTGTGGGGCAGTATACCTGCTCTCCACTCACTCATTTCTGACCAAGATGCAATATAACCTAGCTAGTCACAGTATGAAGAAAAACACCACATTAAGTGGAAAATATAAAGGAAGGAATAAACAATGTCTGTAATGCTGATTTAAGATCTCTGATTTTAGTATTAAAGAGCTCCTTTTAGTGAATCTGCCTTTTTCTACTCTTCATAATTGTGATATGAATTATTTACTGCCATAATTTTTTTTTCCCTTGTCTTGATTCTTTACATCATTTCTCAATTTCTTTTTGTCTGCTTCAAATTCTGCCTGGAAATTTAACTTTCTCCTTCCGAATTCTGAATTGTTTTATGATTAATGGTGAGCCCTCTTCTTTAACTTCTGGTAAGTGCAATCAGAACTTACTTACTGGTGAACTTATCATTTTTTGCCTATATTCTTGCATCATCTTCATATAATCCTTTATCTTTTAAACTCTTAATTGCTGGGGTTTAACCGTCTTTTAGGTAAAGACAGTATGATGTAATACTATCATACCACAACTCTGTTTCTTCAGGTTGCTCAATTAAACCTTTTGGCAGGGGAGAAAATTTTCTTATACAGCAAATCAAAAGTCCTACAGACTTGGATATAAGACTCTTTTTTGTTTTCCTCCCAAGAATTATGTAGGCAGCTGCAGAAATAGAATGATTTTAATACACCAGGTATTGTACAAGTGAAATTTGATTGATTTATTAAGTGGCCTTGCTTTAAGCAATTGTATATTTTGGACATTGAAAAAGTGTCAAACAATTTTTTTTTTCTCTTGCAATACTGCATCTCCCTGCTATGTATGAATTCTTCCAGTCCACGTTTCTAAGTTCATATTTGAAGACTACTACCAAAACACTAGGCATTCACTTGACATGTTACCAACTCTGCAATTTTAAAAACAAGCACAATCTTTCCTCTGCAACTTTGCAGGAGAGTAGAGAAACCCTGGAAGGAAGGGAGATGTTAAAACACTTGGTGTCATTTGGTTAACATATTTGGATTTTCTTCTTTGGAAAAAGAAAAAAAATTATCTTTAAAAATTATCTTTTTTTTTTTTTTTAGTGGAAACAGTACTCAAGGAAATGCAAACTCAAGGCTGTCTCTGCACTCCCCGTTTGATGTTGGAAATATTGACGTACCAGATCTTGAAAATGAGGATATTTTGGAATTACAGATGAAACAGTTTAGCCTTCCGCAGTTCTGTGTTTTGGTCCTGGAAAGTTCTATACCTCTTCTAAGAACAGGTGCGAAAGTTTGGAATGAAATATGTTACTTATGTATCTCGTTCACATTAATTTGGGGAGCTTGATACGTTTTCTTAAGCAAACTTTTGTGTGAACTGCCTAGGAAGTTAGTATGATGAAGTGAATACGTCAAATGACCAGATATGTATGATTACCAAAGCATATTAACAAATTAGAGCAGTTCTAGTCTAGAGGTTTTGTTTAGATCTTCAAGGTAGATTCTTCTGGTCATTTCTGAATGTGTTGCAAAAATTGTGACTGCTTTTTACTAGTGACTGGGGAGTAGTGGTAGGAAGTAGGAAGTGGTTGTACGGGAAAAATTGCTTGGCAGAATAAGGGGAAACGTGAGTTTTCCCCTCACTTTCCACTGAGGGGAAAAAAATCAATGCTAAAATAAAATGTGTTTTGTTGAACTCTCTTTTTAAATCTCTTTAGGCATATTATTTTCCTTTGTGCAGGAAATAATCTTTTAAAGAATTTTTATTGTTTTTCTTCTTTTGTATTCAGTAATAAACCATACATGTGTGTTAATTACTAAATTTTATAAGTAATGCTACCATTACTCTTAATATCAGTAATGATTTTTAGTTAAACTTAGGAAAGTTCTGAATTGCCAAACCTTTTGAATATTTAGTCTTTTTCATCGTAGACTTTTAAAAATAGAATTTAATTGTAAAACAGTGTCATTCAAATTTGATACTGACAAAAGTTTATTAAATGTAGGAGTTGAAAATATCTATCTATGACCAGACAATGCCTATCACCAGTTTCTGAATGGGTTTAGGATTTGAATTTATAGAATAAGTGAAATGTACTGTTATGTAGTGCTGTTTTAGGCCTGTTTAACTCATGATGACATTTTTGTGCCACAAAATACTCCTTTAAATATATGACTGTAAAATCAATATTAAGCTTTCTCCCTCTGCAAAGTAATGCATATTTTCTTCTTTTTCTTTGTCTGTAAATACAAAAAGCTCACAAAATAAAAACTTTTGTTTTCCTTTAAAAATAGCAATATTTGAATATCACTGTATTCAAAACATTCTCTTGACTTCTGGCAGTTTCTCCTTTATTTATGATAGAAAATATTTTTTTATAGATTCCCAGATATTTCGTTTCCAACACTTGTAGTATCTGAGCATCTATTTGCTAAATCTTCATATTTTAGGAAGAATTTTATTCTTTGCTCAGATCTTAGTTTTAGATTTTTCAAGATCTTTTGGTTGGTTTTTGAATGTTATTCAATAACATTTTTATAAAATGAATAGCTGAATTTCTTATGTGTAAAGACAAGCCAAGTGATGCCAAGCATACATTAGGCATGATTGTTATCAATTATCAGAACTGTATCTGATCATCAAAGTTTGACAGAGATATCTGTCTATCCATCCATTCCTATGCATCCGTTAAAAAGATTTTTTTTATGTCTTTTTATATTCCGATAACAACAGAGTAATACAGAGTAACAACAGAGTTACAACAGAGTAATAATCACAGATAATTTCTGCATATTATCTGCTTGCCTCTTGCTAATACCTTGCTAAAGAAAACATTTTTCAAATGGATAGAAGGATTACAGACAATTGCCGATTTTTAACAAAATTAGTGTGACCTGTCTGTTATTCTATTGATAAATGGAAAAATGTGCTTGCCTTTTCAGTTTATTGGATATGTTTTTGTTGTTTGTAAGTTTAATGATGTGCTGGAGAACTTCAGTGGGAAAGTTCATGTAAGAAGTTCGTTTTGATCTAATTTCTTTGAAATGCAGTTGCATTTTCATTTGCTGAAACAATGGAAACATGCATCCTTGTAGAATGTGATCAGTTTTAGTGACGTGTTTCATTTTGAGGCAAAACAGGACAGAATTTCACCAGTAGCTTTTCTGTTTATGTGTTTATCTAACTCTATGGTTATAATCCCTCATCAGGGCAGTAAGATACTTCATACACTTCTGTAGCTTGCCACTTGAATCTGCACACTTAAACTACAAGTTTTTTCCATTTTTCAAGATCATTTGTATCTTATCTTTAAATATTTCATTTCCAGATCAGTTTTGTTTTCCCTTGTTTCTCTTGATGATAGTCTTTTATGACAGAATGTAAGCAACTACAGGCTCCTCTCAATTAATGACTGCTTTAGTCTCTTCTGTTACATTGGCTAAGTTGTTAGTTTCGATGACTCACTTTTCATGCAATTAGCATCAACTAAATTGGAAGAAGCGTACAGGAAAATTAAAATCTCAGAATTCCACATATGGAATAATGCCATGTTTAAAATGACTATTGAATTTTTTGTGTATTTGAATTTTTCTGTCTCCTCATTTGCGTTCCTAGGCAGTAGGAGAGTGACAATGGAAGTTCTTGAACTACTTGTTGAAGACATGTACCTTACTGGTGATGCTATTTCTGAAGATGTTTGGGAAGATGATAGCCTTTTTGGGTTGGAACTGGTAAGATTTCTTTAGGCTTTGATCAGCTATGTTTAACAGTCTGCTTTTATAAGCTTCTGACATTTTCTTGCAGTAGTTCATATACACATATAATCTTCTGCTGAGCTACCCTTTTCAGATCTTAAATAGCTTAGTATTAATTTTACTACTGCCACGTTCTGTGTATTTTAAAATGAAATCTTGTATTAGAGCACACTGAAATTTCATCTCAACAAAATAAGTCATTGTGTTTTTTTGCCAGGGAGTAAAAGGCCATTATGTTAAGAGAAGGGAAGCCATTATGATAAGGGAAGGGACCTCAGAGTGGGGGAAAAGCACTGACTACAAATATTAGATGAACAGTTTGTTTTATATGAAGACTCTGATTTATTTATATTATTACTTTATTAACTTATGAAGTTTTTATGCAATATCAAGTAATTACCAGGTAGAATAGCAATGTATGACTTGCTTCTATGTGTGTGTAACTGAAACATTAGCTAGTACAACATGTGTATGTAGATATTAGAATTCTAGAGATTGAAATTTGTGTAAAAAATCTCAGTCGATTTTTATCTTGAATGAACATGACTTGTAAGGTAGCGTGAAAATACCACAGAATATGAACCAGTTTTTACAATCTTTGTTATTAATTGACTAATAATTTTGTAGACTTTCCTACCCTATCTGCTGCAGATGGTATATCTTATTAGAAGGACCTAGCACTGGATATGGACTTTTTACTTTGCTTTAGTATACTCACACTCATTTGTCAAAATCTGTTACAATTGATCAACATCAATTGAAGACACCTGAAAGCACCATTCTGAATGTTTGAACTAAAAATTTTAGTATTTAATTTTTTTGTTTAGTTGTTGAACTACCTGAACAAATATATTGACTGAACAAAGAACGTTGTCATGCAGGAGAACAACTTATGCATTCAAACCTGTCAAAGTACTGTAGAAGCTATGAGTGGTATTATACACACACACATTACTTGTGAAAGTTCTTAGAAGAAAAATCATGATCTAAAAAAATCATGTTACTAGCAAATATAACTTTGCCATCAAGTTAAATAGAATTTCGGTATATGGATGTGTGTGTTCATATGTTTATATGTGTATTTATGTGTATAAAACCTTGATGCTGTAACTTTATTTTGCTAGCAGAAATATGTGCTACACTAGTAAAATGATTACTTTCTAGATATAAGCTTCACTGTCCATCAAGGCTCTGAGTATGCATCTATCTGAAACATCTGGACTGTCCAGGGCCAATAAATAAAGTTAAAATTTAGCTTTACAAAAATCAGTTGGCCATGCAGGAGATCAAAAACATCTCTATCTTTTTTGGTGTTCAGATAGGTAGCAGATAACTTGAGGAAACAACTACTAAGCTTATATTATGGTATTTATTGCTACATCAAATAAAATATATATATATATATCAGAGTTGTTATTCCTCAGTGCTTAAAAACATGCTTTTTCTTTGTTTTGTATTAGTTCCAAGGGAA